TCTGAACGCTTACAGGGTCTTGTTTGATCAGGTGAAAGTTGTGGTGCCAATTGTTTGATTCTTTGCTTCCATCTCTCACAATTCCGTTTTGTGTTACGTTCGTCTACTATACACTGCAGGATGGTAATCCGAGGCTATCGTGCTTTGGCCTCATGAAGAATAGCAGAGATGGGAAAAGTTATAGTACAAACCTGGCGTTCACTCCCCCCGAATACATGAAGACAGGTAAATAATCATCATTTCCTGTTAACCTTATGATGAAATGAGGTGTTTGTTTTTTCTCCTTCCAAGAGTAGATAGAGTGTTGAAGGATTTACACTTAGTGCCGTTATATATATGGTGGATTAAATCAGTTGTGCTTATTTGAGTTAGGCGTTTTTATTGATTGATTATCAGGAAGAGTGGTACCTGAGAGTGTGATCTACAGCTTTGGGACTATGTTGCTTAACGTTTTGAGTGGCAAACACATTCCTCCTAGCCATGTACGTACGTTCGTCCTTGGCTACTCTAAGTTAGTTATGTCTTCCTGAACTGTGAATTATTTGTATTGCTGCTTCAATGTTTCTAGCTCTGCTTCAATGTTTCTCTCTTGCTTGCATGCAGGCACTAGATTTAATCCACGGCAATAATTTTCAGATGTTGATGGATTCTTGCCTGGAAGGTCAGTTTTCTAATGAAGATGGCACTCGACTAGTGGAGTTGGCCACGCGTTGTCTTCATCATGAGCCGCGAGAAAGGCCAACTTTAAAGTCTGTGGTTGAATCTCTTCTCTCTCTCCAAAAGGAAACACAGGTATAGCGAAGAACAGAAGCAAGGGGGGGATTTTAGTTCCCATGATGTACACTAAGTTGATTACTGTTAGAAATAATCTGGCAAATTAAAAATGATCTTGCAAATTATCACTCCCATGACAGTGTGCATTATAATTTCTGATACAATTGCTGATTTTTTTGTTTTTGTTTTAGAGCTTCACTGTCGTATTTCAATTCAATGTACCAGCAGGTGCCATCATATGTCCTATTGGGTATTCGCGATGGCGATGAGAGTCCAGCAGAACCATTGTCGTTGACACCAATGGGCGAAGCCTGCTTGAGAATGGATCTCACTGCGATTCATGAAATACTGGAGAAGACTGGGTACCAGAATGACGAGGGAATTGCCAATGAGGTTTTCTTTTTTTTCCTTTTTTTTTCTTTGTGTGGCTACTTTCATCTTTGGTTTCTATTTCCATAACTTATGAATTGCTATGTTCATATATGTCACTCTTGTTTTTGGTAACGTATAGGACTTCCAAATTTGCCTATTCTCTCTAGGATCAGTATTAGTGTTTGTCCGCTCAAATAAGAAAAATGAAATTTAAAATTCTACTAGTATTTGAAAAGCATGACAAATTTTTGCACGAATGATATTCATAGTGATATTATGTACTTTTAAGTGTTGGAGTAAGTACTTATTTAAATTTAAAAAAAAAATTGCAAATTTGAAAAGGTCAATGTGGACCTTACATTCACCATACAACCTTTGATTTGAGTAATCTCCTCCAGTCCTCCTGAAAATTTTCCTTCTTATGTGCCAGAGGATAGAAAGTGGCATATAATTCGGGGAAGTGGACATTTTCCATAATTTAAGGAAAGCAAACGCGAAACAAATCTTTGAAAAAATAATGGCATATCCATGCTAGTGGAGGTGATAATGATACTAGTGATGATTATGTCCCTCCACGTTTGACTTAGGGAGTACTCCTGTATCTCAAAAGATTGTCTAGTTAAACTGTGTTATTCTTTGATCCTTGTGAAAAACAAAAAATTTTCTATCTCAAAAAATTGTAAAAGTTTGACATTTTTGGTCAAGTTATGTAATACTTTGACCAAAAATTGTACAAGAAGTATATTTAATTAGATTTATTTTAAAATATAGTTATGAAATATAAAATTTTTATAATATTTAATTATTTTAAACTGTATTCAATTCGTGGTTAAAGAATGCTACATTTGACCAATCTTTTTAGGACAGAGGAGGTATTTATTTTTAATGTAAATTTAGTAAAATTAGGTTAATTTTAAAATCTAGTTTTTAAATTTTTATAACATTTAACTATTTAAAATTATATTTGATTTGTAGTCAAAATGTTACATAATTTGACCAAAATAATCCGATTGCGATAATCTTTTTGGGATAGAGAGTATCAGTTTTATTTTATTCTCATCATTTTCTTTTTTATTTTCCAAAACTAAATCCCTTTATTTAAAAAAAGAAAAGGAAAAACTAAAGCCCTTAAAAATATTAGATACTAGAGTGATATTTATATGGTCTCAAAGTCCACATTTACAATGTAGTCCAAAAATTTGGACCTTCTCACATATTCATGAGTTTTCAGGTAGATATTTTCTTTTTTCAAAAGACATACTTCTTTTATACTACAAATGCACTCAGGTCCATAAAATTATCATGAACTTTAGGTGCGGGCAAAAAAATTTGCTTGGATTTGATTTATGATATTGGGTGAACAAACCACAAGAGTAAATTTTCCACTTCAATTTTTACAACACTCCGTAGTAAAATACGGAGAATTGCGCTTTTTCATTCAATCAAAGCAAACGGGCCCCGAAATAAAAATACTCCCTCCGTCCCCCTGTATTTGTCCACTTTCATTTTTACACACCATCCAATGCACTTATTTAATCCATTTTATCTTGTAATTTGTATATTAAAAAATTATAAAGATTATATATTAAATGAGAAATTTACCTAAATAAGACTAAAACATAATGACTTTCCCAATATAGGACCATATATTTTTATTTCCCAATGTAGGACCTTTGGTCATTATCAAGTAGTCATTATTGAACTAAATGTCCATCATTACTGGACATTATTCCTTCCACAAGGTCATTATTAAGTCCTATTTAGAGAATAAAAAAGTTTAAGTCCTACATTAGGAAAGTCATTATTTTTTAGTCCTATTTAGTGCAAATTTCACATATTAATAATCTATATGTTAAGACAAATCAAACAAGATCACACATGACTATATTTAGGCTTACACATTGAGAGAATTTGATGAGTCAAAATACTTAGATGAACAGTTCCAAAAATCAAATGTGGATAAATACAGGGGGACGGAGGGAGTAACATTAACTTTGTAAGCATATGAAAGTAAGGAGTTCAAAATGGAGTTCACCCTTCTTCATTTGCTTTTATGAAAATCTATTAAATATCTCACAATATTTTAATCTTTTGTTACGAAAAAATAAAATCACATTGTTTGTACTTTTCTACAATTTTATTAAAGTTGGTGAAATTAAATTGTTATTTTTATTTTGGGATGAACATAGTACATGGGGTGCATCTATATATATACCTTCATCTACGGTTAGTTTGCACAGTACGTCAGGGATCCATGGATTTTTGTATGCAGCTATCTTTCCAAGTATGGACGGATCAGATGCAGGGCAACCTAAATTTCAAGAAGCAAGGGGACTCAGCTTTCCGGGCCAAGGATTTTGAAACCACCATTGATGGTTACACACAGGTAAATAAATAAATATTCCTCCACAAACCCGGCCATTCGTTCTGTTTATTAGGACGTACGTACAAATTTTGATTGATGAATTGGTCTTCTTGTTCTTGTTGTAGTTCATTGATGGTGGCAGTATGGTATCGCCCACTATCTATTTGAGGCGATGCTTGTGTTATCTGATGATGAGCGACGGCAAGGCACAGAATGCTCTAGGGGACGCACTACAAGCTCAAAAAATTTCCCCCCAATGGCCAGCTGCGTTTTATTTACAAGCAGCTTCCCTTTTCACCCTCGGGATGGAAAAGGAAGCCCGAGTCGCACTCCGAAACGCCACCAATTTGGAAGCTGCTAAAAGGAGCAGAAACTAATAATTAAGCTTAATTTCACCGTGTGGGTGGTTATTGAAACCATTTCCATTGGGGACTATACATGGATGTGGGTACGTGTTATTATGTAATCAGTCAGATGAGAATAAGAAAACGAGATGAGTTCAGTGTTCGGAATTGCAGTGTAAATTTTGCGTATCCTTTCTGGGATGGATGGAAGGCCCATTATGACCAATGTTTTCTAACTCCACCGGACTGGCCCATATGACCTGGTTACTCGCTCGGCTCGGCTCGGTTTGACCCATCCGGTTCATGAGTCTCGAGCCTTTCCCGTTTCATAATCCATATTTTATTTAAAAAGAGGAGAAATTCTCTTTGTGTTTTTCCGCCCAACAGTGCTAGGCATTAGATTTGGTAATTGTGAAGCTTAATTGGTAATTAATACTCCCTCCGTCCCACTATATTTGTCCACTTTCATTTTTGCACACCATCCAATACACTTTTTTAATCCATTTTATCTTGTAATTTGTATATTAAAAAATTATAGAAATTATATATTAATAATCTATATCTTAAGACAAATCAAACAAGATCACGCATGACTATATTTAGGCCTATACATTGAGAGAGATGAGTCAAAGTGCTTAAATGAACAGTTCCTAAAGTCAAAAGTGGACAAATATAGCGGGACGGAGGTAGTAAAATGCTACTAATACGCGCTACTAATAAAATACTATACAGATTGTACATAGACCCTATTCTACACACTAATAATAGTGTATTACTATTCGGAATTTTGTATTGGTAAGTAATAAAATTCTCTTTCCATGAATATTGTATTACTCCGTACTTTATTCTGGGATGCTTTTATCACGCTATTAATAAAAAAAGGTAGTAAACCGGGTAATTACACCGTGATTGATTTATAAAAAAGGTAATTACACTGTGTGATGGGCTGTTACCTACCGAGCAACCCAACCCACGTGCCCAGGAGCATTTGGAAACACATCGACGTCCCAAGCTCAGTATGGGCCGGCCCAAAGCATTGGGCCCTAGCTGACCCGAGTAAAGGAGCCGTTGGTAACACGCTTGTTGGGAAGGATTCCGCGGCTATGTTGCGGACGATGAGCCGCAGAAATTGGATCGTGTAATTTGCAGAATTAGCTTCTATAATAACAAATCACCTTAATTGTGTAGAAGGATAGGTGTAAATAGGATGGAATCTCACAAGGATCCTCAAGCTAAACCTAGCATAAACACTTCATAATTCTCGAATTCTTGGATTAATAATATTCTTGCAATCCGCCCATTGAGTCGGATCATTCGGTGGAACTCTTGTCCATCAACGTGATTGCTTAATTAAAAAAGGTAATTACCATACATGCTATTTTTGGTATTGTGCTTTACACTATGGAACCACATTTCCATTTCAAAATTTAAAGGTATATTAAATTCTAGAATCTAGCGTTTTGAACAGGAATTAAGAATATAAATAATTGCTCCAGCATGTTGAAAACTAAAAAAGGCAAGACAATATGTCAATGATGAATAATAATAATCATGGAAAATGTAATTATTTTTTTACCATTTTATTACAAATCAACCGTACGATATTATTATAAATCCACCAATCAAAAGGAGATTATATTATGCAACGGTAACATAATAATTTATTATAATATGCAAAGGTAATTACACTTTCCATTAATAAATCAACCGTTTTATCATTTTTTAACCATTTTATTACCCCCTCCGTCCCATTTTAAATTGTTTGTTTGCCTTTTTTCTCCGTCCCAAAATAAGTTGCATGTTAGTTATTTTCGTAAACTTTTAAAAAAAATACCTAAACTACCCCTAAAATAAGTCACACTTCTTCACCTTATCTTCTCATTCATCATCACCCCTCCTAAAAAGTAATGTCAATTTCGGAAAATCAACTCTATTTTTTATTTTCCTTAAATATGCCCAAAAGTCAAAAAGGCGATTTAAATTGGGACGAAGGGAGTATGAATCAACCGATAATGAAATTATCATATGCAACGCCAATAGAAAATTTCGTTATAATATTTAAAGGTAACTACACTTTCCATTAATATTATTTATAATTAATGAAGGATTGTATATAGACTCTATTCTATACGCTAATTAATACTCCCTCTGTCCCAATTTAAATCGCTCGTTTTGACTTTTGGCATATTTAAGGAAAATAAAAAATAGAGTTGATTTTTCGAAATTGACATTACTTTTTAAGAGGGGTGATGATGAATGAAAAGAAAAGGTGAAAAGGAATGACTTATTTTAAGGGTAGTTTAAGTATTTTAATTTTAAAAATTTACGAAAACAAGTAACAGACAATTTATTTTGGGACGAAGAAAAAAGATAAACATGCAATTTAAAATGGGATGGAGGGAGTAGAAGCTAATAATAGTGTATTACTATTCAGAAATTTGTATTGGCAAGTAATAAAATGCTCTTTCAATTAATGTTGTATTACTATATTTCGGGATACTATCACACCGCTTATATGGAATCTATATACATGCTTTTTTATACGCTAATTAATACAAAAAAAGGTAATAAAAAGGATTATTGCACCGTGACTGATTAATAAAAAATGAAATTACACCGGGATTGATTAATAAAAAAGGTAATTACACGCTATTTTTGGTATCGTATTTTCCACTATGGTACGGTATTCCTATTTTAAAATTTAAAGGTATATTAAATTCTAGAATCCAGCATTTTGAAAATAAAATAAAAATATAAAATATGTACTCCAGCGTATTCAAAAGTAAAAAGGAAACACAATATGTCAATAATGAATAATAATAATAATAATTGGAAATGTAATTAATTGTTTACCATTTTGAAATAGCTCCACCGTACCACTTTATTATAAATCAACTGAAAATTTGAACTTTTAGAATTACATACTGTAAATATGGTCATTTCCAAACGCTTCGTAGTCAGTTTATTCAGGGGCGGAGGCAAGGGGGCGGCTGTCTGGGCATGTGCCCCCCGGCGAGATTCTAGTTATTACCCCATGGAACGGCAAAGTTTTTTATGATCAGCGAAGTGCCCCTCCAGCGATAGTTGCTTCACCTGTGTAGGGGCTCGGCATCTACAGACTGAATCTTTTTTTCATTTAGATCTGTTTCTTTTTCTTTAACAAAATGAACCATTTTGTCTAAATTAATCTTTTTAAATAAGGATAACACAAACGTCCCCTTACCTGGAGGTATTTAAAAAAGATCTCACTTTAAAAGCGGGCTTTACTTATTCCCAATAATATGTTGAACTTTTTTATGTGATGGGATAGTAGTATATTTTAGATAAATTTATTTAGGGGTTGTTTGTTTCAGCCTCTTAATGGTTCAGATGTCTGAATGGTTCAGCACTTAATGGTTCAGACTATTTGTTTCAGCCTCTTAATGGTTCAGATGTCTGAATGGTTAAGAGATTTGCCTCTGAATGGTTAAGTATTATACAGAGTCTGAATGGTTAAGACCTCTTATCTGAATTGATCAGACATTTGCCTCGGAATAGTTAAGCAATATACTAGCTCTTAATGGTTCAGACCTCTTACTGGTTCAGCACTTAATGGTTCAGACCTCTTACTGGTTCAGCACTTACCCATTCAGAAGTTGCCAAACAGCTCCTTAGTATAATTTCTTTATATCATACTACCTCCGTTCCAATTTTGGTTACAATTTTATTTTTCCTCTCATCTCGATAACTTTTATTTATTTGTGTGGTTTCATTAATTATTTGGTAAAATAAAATACTTCTTGTCACTTCTTGTTTTGTAGAACTTTTGATGTAGTATTTTAATATGTAATTTTTTTATTGATGTACCAATTTGTAAAATAAAATGATTTTAAAGTCGTGAGATTTTACCTCGTAATTTCCAATTTGTAATCAAGATTGGGACGGAGGGAGTATTATTTTTATTTTTGAAAAAAAACATCTAAGTAAGCTTCCCCCGACTCTAGTTCACTACTGTGCCCTCCCGAAAGCTAGCCTCTGGCTCTGCCACTGAGTTTATTCATCGTGTATTTTTATTATATTCTCTGCTTCAAAATCGCCTTTCCTACAAGCATGGAGATCTTAATCGTTTAAGAAATGTTGATGAAAGGTCATGGTTGTTAATGATGAAACATGAGCAATAAGACTTAATCGCGTTTCTGCCCATGTATGCTTGGGGGCCAGAATCATTGGATGTTACTTTTCATGCCTCAGAGATTAGTTCTTCACTATTATAAATCTTACATATAAATCTTAAAAATAACTTATGCCGATCAAATCCATGCTCAGATCTCATATTCTAATATACGCACTTTCGAAGAAGTTTTGGAAGAAAATATTGTTTATCTAGTAATGAGAATCAAGGTATTGTGCAATTTCTAAAGCACAAAAACTACCAATCACCCTTGCATGCTGCAGTTTTTTGGCATGACCAAGCTTCAAAAGCTCACGGAAAATGAATTTTCCAATTTCAAGTACAACTTTAAGAGTTTTGAGGACATTCACAAAACAAGTATTGGTGACACTGTGCTTTTAGTTTGTAAAGGTCATTTACATTTTCATAAGTCAAATACTTACACATATTTATATTAGGTTTATTTAATTCATAAAAAGTGTATATTTTTATACTTTCAGATGTAATCTAGAAAGTTGTTAGCCAAACCCCGCACGAAACTCGTATGGTAAATCATGCTCTAGACAAATGATGGAAGTTAGGAGGACCACATGTATGTGAATTTTTTTTCTCCGAATAAATTTTATAAAAAAAGATACTCCCTCCGTCCCACTCTCTTTGTCCACTTACCTTTTGGCACACTATCCAATGCACTTCTTTAATCCATTTTATCTTGTAATTTGTATATTAAGAAATTATAGAATTTATACATTAATAATTTATATGTTAAGACAAATCAAACAAGATCACACATGACTATATTTAGGCTTACACATTGAGAGAATTTGATGAGTCAAAATGCTTAGATGAACAATTCCAAAAGTCAAAAGTGGACAAAGAGAGTGGGACGGAGGTAGTATTAGGTAACCTCAATTTATATTTATAATCTTAATTTGATAAAGATTAATTTTTATTTTAACTTTTTATTTGTGTACGGGCATTCGGTTAAATTGTACGCTATGGGGAAATCACATCAATTTGTTGATTGATGGTTTGAATGCAATGGATTCAACGCCTCCATTTTTGGTGATACAAATGGTGAAACCTAGGCTATACAATGGTATTCTTATAATATTATTTGAATATAATTTTGAAATACATGTACACAAAGATTTAATTCTAATTGTTGAATTTTTTAAAAATTTAGAACAAGTGTCAGTTACAACATTTTATAATGTGAGCAAGATTTTACTCAATGACAACTCCAATGAAGTTAAAGCTTTCAGATAAAAGTAAGTCCAATTGTATTCTTCCTTGGAAATTTGAAAATTTTAAAAATATATTCTTTGTAGTTTAAATTTAGTGGAATTCTAATCATGCAGATTAATGTTAAGTGGTAATAATTTGACCCACGGTTGTAGTATTGTGTCAACCCAATCAAGGTCAAGAGATGATCCAAGAACTAGGAATTTGACAGTAATCTCTATACGTGAACTAAAAGCCACTGCACGGACAATGTAAGATATATTTTTTAGAGTAAATTCTATAATCGGTCCTTTATAACATGAGGGTTTCCATATTTAGTCTTCTATTATCAAATATTATCCCCGTAGTTTTTTTCTTAAGGGTGCCTTTCCACAAATGGTCCTTTTTTAATCTTCTGCTATGTTGGTGTTAATTTAAAGGCTAAAAATTTAATTTGACATCAACATTATGTCTAGTGACGTGTTTTGATATTGGTTAAGCGGATAACACAAAAATAATGACTATTATTGTGGGCTAAAATTCCGACAAAAGACCACATTTGTAGAGTATGGTTGTAGTTAAAAGCGACTGCAATTGACAAACGATGAAAACGGAACAACCTTTAGAATTGTGAATGACAAAAAAGATATATTCTCATTGTGAAATTATACTTTTAGCCCTTAAATTAACACCAACATGATAGAATATCCAAAAAAGGACTATTTGTGGAAAGATACCCATAAAAGAAAGATCACTGGGGTAATATTTGATAATAGAGGACTAAATAGGGAAAACTAACCCTCATGTTATAAAGGACCAATTATGGAATTTACTCTATTTTTTATAATGTTAGAAGAGAATTAAATTATGTTTTAACTAAGAAGAGAAAGAACGGATGCTATGAGAAGTACAATAAAAACTTTCAATATATCACATATTCATTTATGTGAATAATGATTCTAAACAAGCAATGACCTAAATTGTGCTAAAGCTATTTCATTTATTTTTCATTATTTTTATAAAAATCAAACATATTAAAATAATAACCGTGCATTTATTTTTGATGCTTTCATTATAAGTAGTAAATAATTAATATTTTATAAATCATACCGTGCCATATTGTGCCTAATATATAATTAATATTTTTGGAATTATTTTAGTAAATAATTAATAATTTAGGAAAGTACTTCTTATTTGCATTTGCTATTATAGAAAGTAAATAATTTTATACTTTAAATTTATAAATGTAGTTTGAAAAGGGAAGTTCTACCAAAAAGGCAAAGGCAAACCATAGTTTTAAAAACCGGACCGAACCGGCCGGTTCAGACCGAAGACCGGTGAACTATCGCCCAAACCGGTCCGGTCTGGTGCACAAGACCGCCTCAGCAACGAACCGGCGCGAACAGGTAGAACACAAGTAGTGAATCGAACACAAGACCTTGTATCTCCATGTTCACCTTGCGACCACCTTAGCTAAAGGATTCTTGTGTCATAACTTGCATACCTGGGAATAATATAATATATTTTTTGAGTAAAAAAATTTCTAAAAAGATTTCTTTTCATAAAACATTAAAAGGTATACTTCTTTTGTTCCTGATTGTCCACTTTTGACTTTTTTCGGTCAAAATTATTAAACTTTGACTTCAAATTATATAAAATATGATATTAGCTTTTGATACAAAAAGAGTTTTCTTAGATTTATTATATGAAATATTTTCAAAATATTATTTTATTTCATTAAAATACAATATATATTTTATTTAATTATAGGTCAAAGGTTAAAACAATTAACTGAAAAAAGTCAAAATTAAACAAATACTCAGAAATGAAGGTAGTAATATTGTAACTATGATTTAAACTTTTAACTACTCCGTATTCTACAAATACACAGTACATATCAATGAAATATTTAACTTAAATATATTTTGAAAATATTGGACAAATTATTGAAAAAATTATATATAAATATATATATATATATATATATATATATATATATATATATATATATATATGCACACGACAAACCACTGCCTAATACCCTCACTGAAGGCCTTCACTCACTTCGTTCTCATTCCACAGACTTGGAAAAACACTCAAAGTCTGGGGAGGAGGAGGAAATCACAAGTTCAGACTGTTTGGTTGTTGCAGAATCTGGTTTGCATTTTGATGCTTCAGAAAACACTCTTATGAACCCAGGACCTTTGGCTGGAAATGAGGAGGTTGTCAGGAACGATGCAGAACCTACTCTTCTCAACATAGAAGATAGGGGTAAGCAGATAGTTTCTTTTCAAGGTCTAGAAGACAACCAGCAACCCTTTACAAACCTCTACCCCCGTTGCCAAGATCCAGACTTTCTCCTTTTGCAAATGAATTCATTCCCACTCTGCCCAATTCCTTTGCAGTACTTTTCCACCAAGGAGATGCCTCTGAAACATCAGTGGAACTGCTTTCTTTAGAAGACCCTTTGGCAAATATAGATGGAAGGAATATGGCACTTTCAAATAATGCCATTGAGGATATGCCACAAGAAAGAGTTGAGCCTATACTTTACACACACTCGGATGGAGAGGACAAAGCCTTTATAGATTATGAACTTAAACCCCTCCAAATCGACACTTCTAGGTGCTCTAGGACACCTTTATTTTTGGGAAGGGTGTTTAAAGGTCGGAAAACTTTCTCTCCATCTCATATGGTCACAAGAAGTAAAGCGAGGCTTCTTACTGAAGGTAGGAAAAATACTCCTTTGGGCTTGTTAGATGAATCTGATGACTCAGCCAATTCCTTCGATAATGATATTATTCAAGCCTTCAAACTAAGCTGTCCAGTTAAGAAGGAGGCTGCTCCCAAACCCCCCATCAACCCCTAACACGAAGCCAGAAAAAGAAAGCAAAAAAGAAGGCTAAGATTGCTAAGGTAGTTGATCAGAACTGGGATGATTTTCAAGACGGTTTCCTCTAATCTTTTTTTCTCCAGTTCGGGGGTCCTTACATTGAACACTCTCATCTAGTTCATTTAAAGCTTCTGAATTCTTCGGGGATTAAAGGATAGTGGAAGATCACGGGAAAAACTTGGGTAAGAAGCTTTCTTGGCAGCATCTTTTGAGTCAGGTTTTGCTCCTGTGATAGGCATTTTGCTGCATTTTTTTAGCTTAAGGTTTGCTTAGGTTATTTTGGGATTACTTTTAATTTTCTGGAAGCCTAAATTTTATGGAAGATGTTTAGGGTTGAAGTAGATTCAGTGATTTTCTATGAATTGTTCTAAGAACCCCTTTGAGACCTCAGCTGTACAGGTCCTCTGCTCAGTAATCCTTGAGGGCATTATGGGACCCTTTTCACTGTTTTGTCCTCCATTGGCTGGAACATAGCATGAGGAAGGATACGGGAATAATGAAGACTATATATACTGATTGGATAAGGACAATTGCTAGGGTGTTTTTGCTGCTTGTATGCTTGGACGGCTCTTTTGGAAACACAACATTTGTCTTCTTCATCTACGAGGGTTATGGCTGGAATTTATGGAAAGGGTTAAAAGCTCAGTCTCTTGGTCTCTTATCAGATTGCTCGGAAATATAAGAGAAAGAAGACATTTTTGCTGGAAATTTTAAGAGGAAGAAGTCATTCTGGGATTGTTTCAGTAGCCAGCTCCTTTCGTTTTTGTACTGAATTTGGCCTCTTTTGTTTTAATCTCCTTGTCTTTTGATTTGGCCATTTGTTGGGGTCGGCCACCCCCACCTTATGTACTTTTCTTGTTCCCTTGAATAAAACCTTTTCCTTAATATATATATATATATATATATATATATATATATATATATATATATATATAATTTTCAAAAATGTTTGAACCACTGGTTCAACCATTCGAACCGCTGATTCGACCAGTGAACCAGTACCTCGACCGGTTCGATCGCCGGTCCGGTTCTGAAAACTATGAGGCAAACTATATTAAAAGTAGATTAATTTTCATTCTTTTAAATTTTTAAAATCAAACATACATTTTTTACTTATACAAATATATTGATTACTTATTTGAAAAAAGAATATTATTGGATAGTTGGAGATATTGTTGAAATTAAGAACACCAACGAATGGTGTTTTCTTGGTTGTCCCAAGTGCAACTGGAAGATTGTTCCTGATGCTACAAGGTTCAAGTCCAAAAAATGTGATTGGGAATATCTTGAAGGAGTGTATAGGTTATAAATTCTATTTAAAAAATTTATATGCCAAAAATATGTTTTGATCTAACCAATTCATATCTTATGATTAATAGATATAAGGTTAGCATTTGCGTTATTGATAATAATGATACTACTTCACTTATCTTATGAGATAAGTAATGTTCGGACTTGTTTGAAATGAAAGCATGTGCAATGAAAAGTTTGATGAATGAGGTATTGCCTTTTTTAAGTCATTAAACTATATTTGTAGAGGAAGTTATTAATGTAACAATTTTTGAACCATATAGAGAATTGATGATTCAAACAACATTCCGAAGGAGATTAAAGACATAGTTGATATGAGGGCTTTATTTTGCGTATACGTCAAGGAAGGTATTGAAAACAATTCCTATGTCGGTGGCACATCACATCTTTTGGAGTTTGGGATCTTATAACAGATAAATCTATCATATCGCGTTATGAAACCACTGAATTGGATGATCAATTTAAACAAGCCCTTCGAGAAGAATGTAGATGCTTTGGAAATGTTTATTTTATTCACACTCATACACTAACATAATACAAAAAAAGTATAACATAACTACACGTTTAATAAAAAATATTAAACATATGTATTATTTGAAGATTGGTTCAAATGATTTTATGAAGTTTTTGGGAGAAGACAGTACACCAAGGAAAGAAGTAATTGATCAAGCCGACCCTGTGAAGAGATCTTTACAAGATGAATTTAGTTCGAGTACAGGAAATGAGAAACTAAAGGCTATCAAGACGGAGAAGGAGTGATATATAAATCAACAGATTTATTATGTGTTTGATGAATCTATATTTCATACATTTGCTTCTTATATGACTTAAGCTCCGTTCTGTTCAACTTATTTTTTCTGATATTATCTGATTCTAATAAGTTCTGATCTGATCTGGTCTGATCTGATCTGATCTGACTGGATCTGATCTGATCTGATTGGATCTGATCTGATTTGATTAATTATGATTTAATTTAAAATTTCAAATCAATAATTTGATTTGACTTTATAATAACGTTTGAAAATTGTAATGATAATTTATATTATAACATAATCAATATTTTTTATTTAATGATTATTTTTTAAAAAAATAAAAATAGTTAATTCATATATTAGAATAATAATTCATATTATAATGTAATAATATTTTTTATTTTATGATTATTTTTTTGTGAAATTAGAATATTAATTTAATATTTTAATAATTACTTCATATATACATTAGAATAAATATTTAATTTAGATTTACATTAAAAAGTATCTCATTCTTATAAAAGAGATAGTATTTTTATTAAAATATCTCATCCTTATAAAAGATCAAAGCTTTATAAACTCAAATTACAAGTAGCAATAAAAATATATTTTAAAAGTAGAACTAGATTGACATCGTCAATGTATTTTAAAAATAATTTTTCCGACAATTAATAATTGAGGATTACTTTCTCAGTTTTCTATTTAACCTATTTCTAAAGTTTATTTTTTTCATTTTTAAGAACAACAACAACAACAACAACAATAATAATAATAATGATGATGATGATGATGATAATAATAATAATAATAATAATAATAATAATAATTCTTGATGGGATCTGATTTTAATAAATCATGATCTGATCTGATCTGATCTGATCTGATTGGATCTGATCTGATCTGATTCGATCTGATCTGATCTGATCTGATCTGATTCGATCTGATTTGAATTGGTCTGATCTGATCTGATCTGATCTGATTTTAATAAGAATAAGAAAAAATCAGAAAAAAATAAGTTGAACGGAACGGAGCCTTATTGTGCTTTGTTTTAAGTTTAATTTCCATACCTTTTTATAAAACAGTGATCACAATGAACTTTGCCTTGCTTTGGAGGTTTGCCCTTAATTTTTTGGTTTCGTTTACTTGCATTTATATTCTTTAAATATACGGATTGTATATACATCCTATTTTATACGCTATTTAATACATGTTATTAATACAGTATATAAAATCAATGTTCTAGCGTTTTGAAAACTAAAAAGGCAACAAAATATGTCAATAATGAATAATAATCTAATTAATAATTATTACTTGAGATTCACTTTATCATTTTATTATAAATCAACCGAAAAGGAAATTATAATATGCAAAGGTAATATAATATTTCATTATAATATGAAAACGTAGTTACACTTAATGCACGGGGTCCCGGTGCGCCAAGCCTTGGTTGAATAGACTGACTTGGCCGATGCTTCATGGGAGCCGGTTGAGTCACTGCGTCGAGAGTACCCCAATTTTCACCTTGAGGACAAGGTGCCTTTGGAACCGGGAGGGGATGATATGAGTAACGGCCAGGTGGACGCAGATAGTGCAGAGGACACGGACTTCGGAGAGGAGGAAGATGCGATAGTGGACGAAGGGAGGAAGGTGACGGTACAACGGGGTGTGCGTACCCGGCGACCTCTCGTTTGGCACGATAATTATGTTGCATGAGACCTGATTGTTACTTTTCTATTATTCGTATTATCATTTATCCATGTAGCATAGATTTTTATTAGGTGAGCAAAAATATAAGTTTTTTCGAGGTTTTCTTTACGATTTTTTACCTCGTCACTTTTCTTTGAACCGTCGGATAGATAACGGGCCTGTTTGGGAATAGCGTTAGCGATTAGCGTTAGCGTTTTGAAAAAGCTATCTACGGGCAGCGTTTAGCGTTAGCGTTTTCAAAGTGATCTACACCGTTGAAATTTTATCCAAAACGCTAACGCTAATCTCTAACGCTATTCCCAAACAGACCCAACGTAGTTATTAGGGTAAAGGTTTTGTTATAAATAGGGTTAACACCCTACGTGGAAAATTATCAAGAGAAATAATACAAACTCTAATTATATTCTACTTCTTTGCCTCCTGCGCACGTCGTGCGTTCGTCTCCCCTTTTATGGAGTTTGTGACACTCGAAGTCACCCCTATTTGATACGTTTGTATCATAGGCTGCCTCGTTAAGTGATTTTTGCTAATCAAGGTTCTTGAATTGATTTCTTAGCAGTAACTTAAGAGTTAAATCTTTGGATTGCTAAGGGTGGTATGATTTAGAGTTAGTGTTGGTCCTAACATGAACTCATATGAATGGGAAAATAGGTAAGAACTATTAGTTGACGTCTTCTTCAGCCTAACCCTTGTATTAACTTACAGTTGATTGATGATTATGCAAATTTTTATCAATTATTTGATCCTGGATTTATTTTCTATATTTTAAAAAACTTTGTTGATGTTTTAAAATTGTTTAAGTTAAACTATTTTTGTTTAAGTCTCTAAGATATTGTGTTATGAGCGCTTGTATGTTTGTCTTCTTTGTTTGGCCTTTTGGTAGAGTTATGTTCTATTTATCCTTGGGTTATTGTTTTAAAACATGTTCTAATGTGGCATGTCATTTTAGTTAGTTTTTATTTTTATCTTTTCAATTTCACTTCAAAAACCCCCTATATTTTACTTTTTAAATTTTAGTTAATTGTTTTTATTCAATAAAGGTGACAAAGTAAATTGATTTTCATAGTCTAGAAAGTATCTTTTCTCGTGAGATCAACCCTTACTTACCCTGTCTATGTGTTTTAACGAATATTAATTCATAAAGGGGAGATTAAAGTTAAGAAAAATAATAAATTAATTTGTAAGTGTTACAATACGCCTAACAATTTATTTCCAAATTAGAATTTCGTATAAGTCTTAGTGTTCATTTATCGCTGGAATGATTAATTATTTGTTGGTGTGTTTATTATTCTTGATTGTTCATATGATTTTCCCCATTTAGGCAACACAAAGACAGCAGCAACAACAACAAAGCCTTATCCCACTAGGTGGGATCCGCTACATTGATCCAACTACGCTATTATGCCCTACCATGTATCATATCTACTGTAAGATTATTCACAAGACGGTTTCCCTTGATCAATGCTTGCCAAGTCTTCTTAGGTCTATCTCTTCCTCCAGCCACATGACTATTCATCATTTGATCAATCCTTCTCACATAATGCTCTATTGGTCTTCTCTTCACATGCCGAAACCACCTAAGACAAGTTTCCATAATTTTTCCTATAATAAGTGTCACTCTAAACTTTAGCTCCCATATCTTCATTCCTTATTTTATACATACAAGTACGATCGCTCATCCAACACAGCATCTTCATTTCCATCACACTAATCTTGTGTTCATGTTCACTGTTTAGTACCCAATACTCTATCCCATACAATATAGCTGGTTGCAATACGATAAAATTTTTCATTAAGTTTTAACAGTACCTTTTTGTGATATACAAAGTCCGAAGCACTCAACCATTGGATGACAACACAAAGACGAACAAATTATTAATTGGTTCTGTCAAAAGTTGAAGTAATTTTCCCAACACAAAAGATGACACCACATTTTCTTTTTTAGAAATGACCTTAGGTAAAAAACTTTTGGAGATCTAAAATTAGGATTGTTGGATAATTATTTGGACTGGGTCACTGGGTGGTAGTAGTCATTGTGTGCTTTGTAGGATTGGGTTTTTGTATGCCTCGTGCCTTAATGCTTGTCTTACTCTTCTGTTTGCTCTTTGATAATTTGTTGTACTATATGTTCTCCGTGTTGTTTGAAACCATCTCTTCACTTTTAGTGTATGGGTAAAGTTTGTATGAAAAACGTTGTTATCCAACATGAAACTCTCAAATATGAGGTCACAAGTTTGATTCTCAATGAAAGGAATACCTTTCCGTGCTTAGATTGGTTAAGAAAGTAGGACATTGCAATAAAAATATTAGTGCTCAAAGAAAGGGGTAAGTTCTATGTTCTCCAGACCGTACTGTTGGCAGCAACAAGGGTGGTTCCTGATGAGCCGATGAAAGTAGTAACTGATGTGGGAGATGGTAGACAATTGAGAAAAATATCAAACTTGTATCTTTTTTGTTCCCCAAACACCTAACTAATCACTAAGAGTATGTTTGGTTGGAGGTAGGTAAAATGTTTATTAGGTAGGTAATGGAATGTAATTGAAGGTAGGTAAAGTAAGGTAACGAATTAAAAACTGTGTTTGAATGCTTATTAGGTAATGTGAGATAGGTAGAATAACAAATTTACTTATATGCCCTTGTTTTTTTTACTTAAAAAACAAAAAAATCGCAAAAAATAAAACAAAAAAAAGGGAAAACAGCAAAAACCCAAAAAGCTTAAAATCAAAACCGAAAAAAAAAACCATAAAAAACCAGGGAAAAAAGTCAAAGCATGATATTTCAATTAATAAAAAACAGGAAAAAAAAGAAAAAAATAGCAAAAAAATGTGAAAAAAGTTGAAAGGGTTTGAATAAGTGGGGAGAAAGAAAAATCGAAAAAAATACAAAAATGGCATCAATTGCAAACATTCTACTTCAAGAAAAATTGAAATAAATACAAATTTTTTTTAACATCAATTTCGAAAATTTATTTAGACAAAAAACAAAAAAATATAGAAAAAAATTCCTTGCATCAATTTCAAACTTTCTAATTCAACAAACAAAAAAATACAAAAAAGAATTTCTTTTACATCAATTTCAAAGATCCAATTTTAACAAATAGCAAATAAAAACAGAAAAATGTCAAAAAATAAATGACAAAAAGAAATCTGGAAAAAAGAAAAAAAACAGAAAAAAAAAAGAGAAAAAACGCATTCTTTAAATGGCAAAAGAAGTATAAAAACCTTACCGGATATGAAGATAAGCCATGGCAGATAATGATTTGAGATCCAAAGAAGAAGAAGAAAAGAAGAAGATGAAAAAGAAAAAGAAGAAGAACCGTGGATGGGAGGAGGCCAGAGAGAGCTGCGCTGGAGTGGAAGAAAAAAACGGAAGAGAAGTAAAGAGAAGGGCATGGAAAGGAAGGCGTAAATTTTACCTCACCTGACCGCACAATCGGCGGGCATGTATATTGCACTGTTACGCGGTTGCTTTACCTTCCCTCACCTCCATTTACCTACCTCTATTTCCTCTCCCAAACAAGGTAACTTTTAATCTTACCTTATTCTACCTCTACCTCCCTCCATCCAAACATACTGTAAGATTCTTACTAAAAAGATAAAGAGAACACCATTTCCACCAATACAACACACCTTTTTTTTTTAAATTTCGGAAACCAAAATACACCCTTTAATGTCACGGTAAACCAGAATTTCAAACCTGAAACGGGAAAATATGCAAACAAACAGACAAAAACAGTTACTACTTAGCTAGAGAGAGCCCAGGAAGCCCCCTGTTGATTCATTCACTCACTCCACGGGTATCATAATTTCATTCGTCCTCAATGGAGGCAACGTCCATGGCGGATTATACCTTGCCAGCTCAAAATCCCCAATTGTTTTATGCCCATCTCTATCCAAACAATTTTTCAAATTCTCCACCTTCTCTTGCACCACTTTGTCACTTGCGGTGCCGCTGAATCTCACCACGGCGTACTTACGCACCCCTTCCTCCTTAATCAAAACTCGCTCATCTAGCGGCTTCGGCGCCTCATCTGCCCTCGTGTACTTGGACGGCAGAATAAACTGCATCGTCACAGCCTCGTCATCCCCCTTGGTCACGACCGGCGCAGTCATCGCGATCTGCTCGGACTGCTTGGTGATCACCGGCGCCGTCATCGGAATCTTCTCGGGCTTGGCGTTTTGGGGGTTTCCCAGTGCTCCGATGAAGTTGGCAAGCACAGTAAAGCCACCGTCTCTGTTGCCTCTGAACTGGGTCGCGTTGTACGTGACCTCAGCTATCACCGATGGCGGATACTCGCGGATTTCGTACTCCGCGGCAGAGTGAATCACCGTGTATTTCGGTGTTTCGACGGTGATTTTGCCTAGAATCATACCCATTTTGAAAGAATTAGATGTCTGAAGGGGTGGGATTTGGGATCTGAACGAGCCAAAGAGGCGGATTGGGGGCAAATTTTTATGTGAAGGTAAGTGATTTTGGATAGGGTCGAGAAGTATGTGTTTGGATGGAGCGGTGGAGTACCTCTTATCCGGGATTTAGAAATACTTGAACATCTCGCCTAACAAAAACTCCCTGCCACCGTCTTAAATTGCGTTAAGAAGGTTGGGAAAGGCATAGTTTTCAGAACCGAACCAGTCATCGAACCGGTTAAGGCACTGGTTCACTGGTTTATTGGTCGAACCAGTGGTTCGAGTGGTTGAACCAGTGATTCAAACATTTTTAATATTTTATATAAATATAAATATATATATATATATATATATAAATAAATATATATATATATATATATATATATATATATATATATATATATATATATTGGATCAAGTGAGAATGCAATCTTATGAAAGAAATAAGAATGAATCTAGTGCTTTAGATTGTGAGATATAAGAGTTAGGATTGCATCAAAATTAGGTACACCAAAATGGTTTGAAAATGCATCATGTTGAAATGCACCAAAATCGTTTAAAAATGTACTATATCAAAATCTGAGTGGAGGATGCAATTTGAGCCGTACGATGCATCAGATCCAAAGGTTAGATTTTATTCTTATTTCTTTCACCATTGTGCATTCTCACTTGAGTAAATAAAATAATATAATTCCTCTATTTATAAATAAAGAATTGATGTGTGACTAGATTTATAATTTAACTTAATTTACTTGAATTGTGTCATTAAATAAAAAATAAAATTTACTTATTTAAAAAAACTTATAAATAAAAAGTGATTTGGTTTCCGTCCTAAAATTAATTTCTCATTTGACTTTTCACGGTCTCCAATGCAACACTTTGACCATAAATATCTCTATTTTTATATAAATATATTTTATAAAAATTATATATTTCAAAACTATGTTTCAAAATGAATTTGTTGCTAATAAGTTTATATGAAAATTCAATGTATTTTTTCCGTAATATACGGTCAAAGTTTAAAAAGTTTGACCACAAAAGTCAAACCACTGGTTCACTGCAGGTTGTGGTCTAATGGCCTGGACCGGACCGGCTTAGTGTCTGCTCTGGTTCCCGGTCCGAACCGGCCGGTCCGGTTTTTAAAACTATGAGATACTCCCTCCGTCCTATAATGATTTTCCCAGAGCACTATTCCAACTTCACGGGATGGCCTATATGATAAAATAAAATATTCTTGTCACCACTTGTTTTGTTGAACTTTTGGTGTAGTTTTTAAATATGTATGTTTTATTTTTTATTTCTATACCAATATTTAAATAAAATAGATTGAAAAAACATGGGATTTTTCTTCGTTTTGCGAACCGGGAAGATCATTATAGGACGGAGGGAGTATTAATCAGATTGGATGTGTCATTACTAAATCTGTATCCGTTTCTTTTTGTTGGATATCAAATTCGGATACGGATCTTGACGGATACTGAAAATTAAAACCATATCCGCATCCGTTGGATATCGGTTGGATACCGGATATATCCGTATTTGTTTCTAATTTTTAAAATCAGATTAAACAATACTTTAATTTTAAATTAGATTAAAGTCAAATTATTATTAAATCAACTATAATTTGTTATAGGATATTTATTTTCTTTGTTTTCATAATTTATGATATTCTACGATAACTGTATATGATAAAAAGATATACACATCACACGTATATACATATTTTTATATATCTGTATATATTTTTATGTGTCTACACATTTATTTTGTATATAAAAATGTCTTATATTTTGAAATATCAATAGAGAAACAAAATATAAACATAAAACAATTAGGAAAAACTATATATGTTATGCCCTACAAACCGGCCTAATAGTTAGCCAATATTTTAAATAAATAAATATTATTTATTTATTGAGACTCATTGTTTTAAATAATAAATATTGAGATTTTGATCCCATTAGATGGACTCCAAAAGTTAATGTTTTTTTAAAATATAAAAAGATGTTTTAATAGCGGACCTCTCAACATTAATTAAATAAATTAATTAATGATTGGGGTGGATCCGGAAGTTTGAAAATAAAGTTACTAGAACATGTCATTAAATTCGTCTTGACTGACTGATTCCATAAATACTAATGGATCTCAATTCGGACCCGTTCGGGGGGAAACCGCGTACCGTTCAGGTCAGATTTTACACAACGGAACGAATTTAGGGAGGTAACTCTCTAATTAAATCACACGCCACCACCACCCATTCATTTTCTTCATCTTAATTCTCTAGAAAAGAAAGAAGAAAGGAAGGATAAGGAACCTTCCCAGTCCCAGCATCCAAACAACAATCTCCTACCAAAGAAGGTGATCGTACCCTTTCCATCAAGGGTAAAGAAGAAGAATGATGATCACGCTTTCAAGAAGTTTCTAGACATCATGGGCCAAGTAGAAGTCAAGTTGCCCTTGATTGATGTCTTAACTGAGATGCCGAAGTATGCCAAGTTCATCAAAGATTTGGTTATGCATAAAAAGGACTGGGAAGGGGTTTCAATGATCAATCTGAATGCGAGCTGCTCCGCATTGCTACTCCAACAATTACCTGAGAAGTGCAAGGATCCAGGTAAATTTTCTATCCCCTGCTCAATTAAAGACATGCACTTTCAACATGCGCTAGCAGACTTAGGCGCGAGCATTAATTTGATGCCCACATCAATCATGAAACAGTTAGGAATTACTGAACTTAAACCTTCACGGATGTGTGTTCAACTAGCGGATAGTTCTGTCCGTTACCCTCGGGGAATAGTTGAGGACATACACGTAAAGGTTGATAAGTTCACATTCCCAGCCGATTTCGTGATTCTTGATATGGAAGAGGATTCAAAAATGCCTCTAATTTTGGGTCGGCCATTTTTAGCAACTGCTAAGGCCCTAATTAATGTTCACGAAGGGGAAATGACTTTAAAAGTTGGAGAGGATGAGTGTACCTTCAAACTGACGGACCTGATGCACAATTCTCCAGACCCTACCGAATTTTGTCATTTTGTCAAAATATTGAAGGACAAAGGGTCTGTCGAGACGCTTCTTGGTCTAGAGGCAGTATTGAAGGAGGAAGAGAATGAAGGGATTAAGTGTGAGGATGTTCGGGAAGTGGAAACAAAGGGATCTGATACCCTAGAACTGAAGCCACTTCCCAAACATCTAGAATATGCATTTCTGGATGACGAGGGCAAATGCCCGGTTGTCATCGCATCTGAATTGACTGTGGATCAAAAGGCCGAACTATTGACCGTTCTTCGACGGCACAAGCAAGCAATTGCTTGGAAGTTGGAGGATATTCAAGGAATCAGCCCGGCCTTTTGCACCCACAAAATTGCAATTGAAGAAGGGTTCAAGCCTGTTGTTCAACCAGAACGGAGGCTTAATCCAAAACTGATGGAGGTAGTACAAAAGGAAATCCTCCGATTATTAGACGCAGGTATTATATACCCAATCTCTGATAGTCGGTGGGTTAGTCCTATTCATGTTGTCCCGAAGAAGGGAGGAATGACTGTTGTGAAAAATGAGAAGGGTGACTTAGTACCTTGTCGAACAGTCACCGGGTGGAGAATGGTGATAGACTACAGAAAGTTAAATGATGCCACCTGGAAGGATCACTTTCCCCTTCCCTTCATTGACCAATTAATTGAGAGACTGGCAGGGCATGCCTATTATTGTTTCCTCGATGGAATGAGTGGTTACTTTCAAATACATGTTAATCTTGAGGACCAAGAAAAGACCACCTTCACATGCCCATTTGGAACTTTCGCTTTTCGGCGGATGTCCTTTGGTTTGTGTAATGCACCTGCCACCTTCATGAGATGCATGATTGCTATCTTTGAGAAATTCATAGGCGATTTCATGGAGGTTTTCATGGATGATTTCTCCATCATTGGGGAATCATTTGAAGAATGTCTTGAAAACTTGGAGAAAGTGCTAAAGAGGTGCGAGGAGACCCACCTGGCTTTGAGTTGGGAAAAATGTCATTTCTTAGTCAAGGAAGGGATCGTACTAGGGCATAAGGTCTCTAGCAAGGGCGTTGAAGTTGACAGGGCTAAAGTTGAGACCATCGAGAAACTTCCTCCACCAACTTCTGTTAAAGCCATCCGTAGCTTTCTTGGCCATGCTGGTTTTTATCGGAGGTTTATAAGGGATTTTTTGAAAATCGCTAAGCTGTTAACTCGCCTGCTAGAAAAGGGGATCGAATTTGTTTTTGATGATGAATGCCTAAAAGCCTTTAACACTTTGAAGGAGAAGTTAATCACTGCACCAGTCCTTGTGGCTCCCGATTGGACTAAACCATTTGAACTTATGTGCGATGCTAGTGATGAAGTAGTCGGGGCTATTCTTGGCCAACGAGAGGGTAAAAACTTTCATCCGATCTACTATGCTAGCAAAACATTGTCGGGACCACAACTGAACTACACAACCACTGAAAAAGAATTCTTGGCCATCGTTTATGCTCTAGAAAAGTTTAGGCCTTACATCATTCTTTCAGAAGTAATTGTCTATACCGATCATTCGGCATTAAGATACCTACTTCAGAAGANGGCCTATATACTCAGGAGGAGATCTCACATTCATCCTTTGCTGACCTTCCCATTACTGTTCCTGAGGACTTTGACGTCCAGGCTTTTTGGACTGCACATGCACGCACTGATGCTCCTTTCGAGCATCAGCTTAGTCGAGCTTCTGACTGGGCCGAGCCTTCCTGGAGGCTTCTCACATTCCTGATGTCCATGAGCTACTTTGGGAGACCCAGTAACAGCAACCGGGTATATTCTTCTGACATGCTCTTCTTCTGGAGCATAGCACATCAGCGACAGGTTAATTTGGCTGTTTTCATCGCCCGATTCTTGTGGTCTCAGACATATGGTACACGTATCACGGTGGTTTGCGGCCCGTTGATCACACTTCTTCACAGGTCCTTACAGGAGCAGATGCCTATACCTGACCTCTTACCTCTTGAGCATAGTGTTCGACTTTTGGACAGCACCATGATACAGCACATTAGACTTCAGAGAGGTCAGATACGGAGGATTAGACCGAGAGAGGGGCCATCACCTCGACCTCGTCCTGCACCACAGCCACAGAGTACATTTCAGCAGGGACAGAGCTCTACTGGGGTGGAGAACCTTTAGATACCCCTATGGGCACAGACATTGAGTACTCAGATGCAGAGTCTTCAGTACCAGATGAGTGGGTTTCATGGTAGATTGGAGGAGTTACACACAAGGTTCACCGAATTTGAGCAGCGTTACGAGGCAGATATGACCAGGCTTATCGACGAGCAGGAGGCTCAGTGGACTAACTTCTTCAATATCGGTACTCCTATTCAGACGCCAGTTCAGCACCCTTCGACTGGTCATACTTTGACTCCTGATGCATCAGATGCCGCACCCACGCACCCAAACCCACCCCGATTCTGATCTTCTGATTACTTTTTCAGACTTTTACTTGCTTTTTCTTGTGATTTGACCAGGTTTCTTGGATGCTGGATTTTGTTTTGAACAATCATTTTATGCACGAATTTGTGGAGACAATCATGGGGAAGTTTACTGTGCGATATGCCCTTTTCCCCAAAAAAAAATTTTTCCTTGATTTATTACTGTTTCAATCTTCAAATTGAATGCTTTAAGTATTAGAATAATTTAATTTGTGCATTTGAGTTTTTCCACCATAACTCTAGTTTCTTATCACTTTTAAACCCGCGAGGGCGCGGTTCCGCTTAAGTGTGAGGAGGATAGAGTTATGGTTGAAATACTCTAAAGAAAGTTTTTACATCTTTATATTTTTAGGAAAATTATATATACAGTCATCAGCTTTAATTTTCTAAAATATTTTTACCAAAAAAAAATAATTTTTTCTGTCAAACTTAGATTTTTGTTTAAATTTTTGAAGATCTTTGGTATGGATGGATGAATTTAAGTCTAAATTAGTAGATTTATTATCATGTTCTCTAATGTTTGAATTAACATATTTTCTATAAAGATATTTTGTAAGGTCAAATAATTTTTAATTATTTTATTAAAAATCTTTTTAGATACTGCTCCGCTATTTCTAAATATGAGCATTTATTGTTTCTTTAAAAGTTCTATTTAAATAAAACACACTTTGGTGAGACCGAATTCTCGAGTGAAAATTTGAAATCAAAAAGCATCTGGTTCTATATCAGATGATGAGATTTAATTATTTTGGGAGAATGCCAAAAAGCACGCAACTCTATGTTGCGTGATGAGGTTTTTGAGAGAAAATAATATCCAAAAAGCTCGTGGTTCTATGTCACGGGATGAGGATGTAAATTCTTTGTTCTCGTGTCAACATGACAAAGTGATGTTATTCAAAAAAAATCATGAAAGTAACTTTTTCAAGAAACAATTTTTTAATTTAATCATTAAAGATTCTTTGACCTTATAATAATTTTAGTATGGAAAAGTTGTTATTTTAAATTTAGAGAACATTGATTTTAGTCTTATTAATATTCTTCAATTTTAATCTTTGAAACCTAGATTAATTTAATTTGAACAAAATTTTGAGTTTGACAAAAGAATTTATTTTCTGTCAAAATGAGTAAAAATTCTTTTTAGTAAATTAGGTTGACGACTGTCTAATATTTTGTTCCTATAAATAGATTGTGTAAAATACTTTCTGTGCATACATTTAGTTATTCAAATTCTTTTAATTATTCAATTTGTTGCTTGAGGACAAGCAACGTTTAAGTGTGAGGAATTTGATAAGTCCAATTTTTTGGTCTTATTTTATACCTTATATTTCAACGTTCTTGTACGTAAACAAAAATAAGTCAAGAATTTCAAATAAATTTTTATGATAAAAAGTCATTTTACAAATTTGTTAATAAAAAGATTGTTCAAAATTAAATTTAGTTTTTCCAAGCATATCATGGCCAAATAGAAGAAAATATTTCAAATTGATGATCACAAGTGAAGAAAGAGATCAAATCAGGCTTTGGAGCAAAAAGAATGGATCAAAAT